TTGGACCCCATTAAAATGTAGGCTCCCTAAGCCCAGATCTCCGCTCTGGTTACTGCTGTATCCCCAAGAACCACAATAGTGCCTATAGAATAATAGCCACTCCATAGCATTTGTGTACAAATGACTAACAACAGTTAATATTTTTCAGTGTTTACCATGGATTGTTAAAAGTGCACATGCTTTTTTTTTTACTTTCTCAAAAATTGAAATACAGTTCACTTACTATATTATTTTCAGGAGTAGAACACAGTGGTTCAACAATTATATATAGTAAAAAATACTAACCACAATAAGTATAGTCACCAAAAGTGCTCATACTTTAACTTGAATTCTCTCACCCACTCCATGGGGTAGGTGCTATTTTGTCCCCATTTTACAAACAGGGAGAACTAATGTTTCATATCTAGCAAGAAGCTCAGGGTTTGAACCCAGAAAGCAGGCTCTTAATCTCTGCTCCCAAGGAGAATAAATACATTCAAACTCAGATTGTAAGTGGAATCAACAGAAGTACTAATTAATTTAATTTTAAAAAGTAAAGGAAACAGAAAAATCAAAGAGGGCTGTTCAATATTTGTCTTCAGAAAGTTGGCAAATAGTGAACTGAAAAAACTTGCAGTTTCTCTAATCTTTTGTAGGTTTGAGGGAAAAATGTTTTAGCCAGGTTACTTCTGAGAAATGTATTAAACATACATGAAGTCATAAAGCAGTCATCTAAATGTCCAAGACTGGATTTCTAAGAACCCAGAAATACAGATGCAGAAGCCATCATCATTGATTTTTAGCCATTTAAAGCCATGGAACCAGAAGAAATCATCTAGAGAAGCCAGGGAGACGAACATGGGAAAGCAACTCAGGGCAGCACTGTGGATGGATCTTGAGGGAATTATGCGGAGTGGAAAGAAAAGCCAATCACAAAACATAGCCTATGTGTAATCCCATTTATGTAACATTCGTAGAGTGACAAAATTGTACAGAACAGATAAAAAGGTTACCAGAGGTTAGACATGGACAGGGTATGGAAGGGGAAGGGAGAGGAGATCCTGTGATCACATGAGAGAATTTCTTTGCAGTGATGGAACAGTTCTGTGTTCTGATTGTAATGAAGGTCACACAAAACTACACCTGGGATAAAATATCTTAGAACTGTAAACAAGCAAACAAAATGTTTGCAAAAACTGGTAAATCCCAATAAGGATAGTTCTGTAGTTGAGTTTATCAGTAGAGTACCAAAGTCAGTTTCCTGCCATGGACAAACACACTCTATGATGTCAGATGTTATCAGTGGGGGGAGCTGGACAAAGGGTATACAGGAACTCCCTGTGTAATTTTGGAAGGTTCTTGTGGTCTTAAACCCTTTCAAAATCAAAAATACTAACAATATAAATAATTCTTTCTGTAAATGTGATATATGAACATTTATTTAGATTTCCTGAAATGTTTATCAGTAACATTTTATATTTTACAGCCAAAAAAAAAGAAATGGGGGAGAATAGAGTCTAACTCAGTTCCTTTGTCCCTAGATTGAAGTATTTTAATGAAGGAGACTGAAGTGAAGAATGATTTAGAAACCTGGGGGCCATTTAATTCATTCTATTATTCAACTAAACCTGAGTACCCATGATGTGTTATGTAAGATGCTAGACAGAGGATGATGCACATGCAAATCAATGGTCCACAGTCCTGGCCTCAGGCAGATCCCATTCTAGTGTGGCACAGGCAACTACTCTAATGGTGCAATGTAATATTTTACAGATGATTTAAAGTTCTCATTGCATAGAATATTACTCAGCCATAAAACAAGAAGGGAATCTTGTCATTTGTGACATCGTGGATGGACCTAGAGAGTATCACACTAAGCAAAATAATTCAGATAGAGAAAGACAAATGCCATATGATTTCACTTATATGTGGAATCTAAAAAAAAGAAAAAAGAAACAAAAAAAAGGAAACAGACCCATAAATACTAGCAATAGACTATTGGTTACTATAAGGAGGGTGGGTTAGTGGGATGGGTGCAGTAGGTGAAGAGTATGAAGAAGGACAAACCTCAAAGTAAAAAATAAATTAGTCATAAGAATAGAAATGCAACATAAAGAATGTAACCCATAATCTTCTAATACCTTGATATGGTAACAGGAAGTAACTACACTTACTGTGGTGAGCATTTAATGTGTATGTAATTATCAAGTCACTGTGTTGTATGTTTGAAACTAATGTAATATTCTATATCATCTCTATTATAACAAAAACCTAAGAAAAATAAAAATTTAGAGAATAAAGTTCTCATTGTGATTATCTTATTATGAGACATATAGAAAGGAAAACAGTTACCAGTTTAAAACCCTAAAAATATACTTTTTTTTTTAAGGCAGAAACATTAACCTTGTATTAGTCTTCAAGGTCTGAGGATAAGATTATTTTGGTTTCCAATTTTACCAGACTTCAGCTCCTAATGCTATTAAATCGTTTCCTAAGCAAGAAAAATGACTTGGGTCAATAATAATTAGGCTACGCTTCTACCGCTCAGGCCTTTGAAGTAAATAAGCCAGCGCAAAGGCTGCCCAGTTTTGATGGACACTCAGTTACTAAGTAGGAACAGGAAGGAAGGGACCCCTGCTTCTGATGATGAAGAAGGAAGGAGACAGGGGGATTATAGAAGTCTGAGCCCTGATCCCAAGGAGGCGCTGCTGAGGCTGGTTTGTTACTTTTATTGAGATTCGAATCAGCCCCTTCAATTTTCTCTTAAGAAGCCTTACAGGAACCCAGCAGAGACAGGCTGTCATTCAACAGCGAGAACCCTAGGCGGTGAGGGTGATCTGCCTTGACACTAGTAGCAGGAGATTAGGAGTAACCGAAGGTTAGTGTCGCTTCCTTTTTTTGCCCACCATACCCAGTAAATTGTCCTCGTTACCTGTTTTAAAAATGGTTGGAATTGGATGAGGAACAGGTTATTTAGATAATCTCAGAGACTTCCACAAATTATTTGAGAATATAAAAGAGTAACTTTTAATAATGGAGACACCTGGTGTTGGCACCTTAGCCAATGACTGGCGTTAACATCACCACCATCCAGACAGACTGACATCACTCAGTGAGACATTGAGAAGGACACGACATTTCTGTGGTCTGCCTGCCGAAAATGAAGACACTGGACTGAATCATATGAAAACATCAGATAAAGCCATATTGCAGGACATTCTACAAAATTAGTGTCCCATACTCTTCAAAAATATAAAAATCAAGACACAGGCGGAGGAAGTGTTCAAATTAAAGGAAACTAAAGATATACAACGATTAACTGCAATGCATGATCCCTTATTGGATTCTGGACAGGGGGAGGGGAGAGGGGATAGTTATGAAGGACAAGTTTGGCACAACTGACAAAATTTAAAAATGGACTGTGGACTAGATCATAGTATTGTATCAATATTACATTTCCTGATTTTGATTATTGTGTTCCGAGTATGTAAGAGAATGCCTGTGTGCTTAGAAAATACACAGTGAAGTATTTAGGGGTAAAGGATATAATTGTTCCAACTTTCTAACAATAAAGAGAAATTCATATATATATATATATATATATATATATATATATATGTTTTTATAGAGAGAGATAGAAGAGAGAGAATGCAAATAGGCAAAAGGTTAATTGGTAAATCTGGGGAAAAAAACAAGGGAGTTCCTTATATTATTTTGGCACCTTTTCTCTATGTTTGAAGTTAAATGAAAATCAAAACTTTGGGAAATATGCGCTTGTCATTGAGTGCTCGATTTGATCAGCTGCTTTGTGTGCATTAGGGTGAATTAGGGTAGTGATTTCGTCAGCCCCAATGCCTCTGGCTTGCTCAGGGTCCAACCAACAACACGACAGGGCTGAGAATAAAGTAGGCACAGAGGCCGTGAGAGCACAGAGGAGAAGCTCCTAACTCAGGCTGTGGGTTGTAAATGGCTGCCCAGTGTCCATGATCCTTGGATTAATCATAAAGGATGGAGAGGAGTCAGCCAGGCAATGGAGGGCTCTCTGGGGCAGCAGTGTTGGCAAAGGGAGATTGTCGTATCTCTTTTTGCCTTAAGATCTATCCCCTACTCTTCCCTTCTCTGCGACGGCGAGGCTGACGTCTATGGACCACATCACTTGGACTCTCTAGTCCTCTGTCTTCCAGAAGTTTGACCAATGGTCAACACTAGTAGGAGATGCAAGGACAGGTGGAGAGAGAGGCCAGGGTATTTATTCTCACTTTAGTTTTGGCAGTGCCTGTGGAAAGCTACTGCTTCCGGCACCTGACCCCGTTCAGAGTCCCAGCATTCTCCAGGCTTCAGTATTTCCATTTTATTCCCCTTGCCGCTTCAGTCAGCAATGGCTTCCTGCTCTTGCTAGTTCTTGGATGCTTCATGAGCTTTGTTGTTCCCCCCAGTGGCCTACTTTTTGAAAATAATTCCTCATTAAGTTATTTTTAGTTACATTCTTTTATCTGGGTCATGTGTTTCCTGCTAGGACCCTTCCTAAAACACGAGGTGTGGTTGAAACAGAGGGCACATGGAGGAAAGTTGGGTGATGAGACCTGTGTGGGGCAGGGGCTAGAGCAGACGAGGCCAGCTTTGGCGGTTTCCCTACTGTAGGAATGACCAGACTTTACCGAAGACAGTGCTGTGGGGTGAGACCTCCGCAGTTAGGTAGACCTCAACTGTTTGACCTTCCTAAGTGACTTCATCTGCCTGAGCAGTTTCCTCATTTATGAAAAGAGATTAACCTCACAGGGTCAATGCGAGGAACAGATGGGACAGAGCCAGTTTTCATCTTAAAGCTCAGTTCCAGGACTATCTCCTTCAGGAGGCCTCTCTGACCGTGTCAGTCCCTCGTGATTGCTCCCTTCTCTGATGTCTGTTTCTTGAATAGTAATAATGTAGAGTTTATAGCTATAACTATCATGTGTAATAATTTCATGTATGTACATGTATATTTGCTCTAATTCTCCAACTAGGTTTTAAACTGTTTTAATAAGAGGCCTTTTTTTTTTCCAAATGCAGTCCCCCACCTCCATAAATTATGCAGTTAAGTTTCCCACTTTTGGGGAAATCACAGGGGTAGCACATCCAGAGTGCAATGGATAAAGCCTCGCCCTGAGGGAAGCACCTTCATGATCATGGAATCTGCCCAGTTGGGTAAGTATAAAGGGCCATGTTTTAAAACCTGTCTCTGACTCTCCCTGTGTTGGACACAGTGGGGGCTTAATAACACTTGTTGGTTGATAAATAGAAATGATTTTGAGCATTGTAGTATTTAAAGGCACATTCTTAATCTTCCTCCATTATTTCTGACCTCTCTACCTCTACTGGAATATCATTCTAAAACCAAACAAATGGAAATTCTTCTCTTCCGTCCTTCTTTCCTTCCAGCATATGTGCAACACCTACTATATGTACATAGCCATAGACATTTTAGATCTGTTTCATTAACTATAATCATCTAGGAAAAGGGAATTTGGAATGGATCTACATTTCCAACAATAAGCTATATTCATGCTATAAAAACAGGGCTGGGTGAAATGATAAAGAAATGGTACTTCAGAAGTGGGCATAATAGGGTCCACTGTGTGGCTGTGTAAATTTGCTATTCTCGCTGCTAAAGTTATTTTGATAACATTATTTTTTCTGTTCCATCCTCTGTAGTACTAGGTTTTTCCATTTGACAGATTTTTCCTTAAAGAGAAATGAGAAGCTTCAAATAAGTACACCTGGGACTAACCTTACCACGACACTTCCTTGACAGTTTTTTCACATTGTCTCATTAATAATGCTCATGGCACCCATGAGGTCACCAAATATGATGATCATCACGTTTGGCCAAATCAAAATACTGAGGAACAGAGAGGTTAACTGAGTTCCCCACTCCCTGCACACAGAGTTATCGTTGGAGCTTGTAGATGGAATTCACTCTAAGATTCAGCCTGATTACCGTGGTTTCTTTGCCCCTCTAACTGCTTTATCTAGTAAAGAAAACAGGAAGAGATCCTAAACCAGAGAGAACCAGAGGTGGTTCCTCTACGTCTGGAGGATGTCTACCTCTTCCTCGTGCTCAGGAATAAAATGAACACCGCCCTGGCCTGGCCATGCACCGCAATGGAACTCATCTAAAGCCTGAGCCTGGTGCCAGGCCAGTGTGGGCCCCACTTCCATACACCTTCAATTCCGAGACCTCTCAGAAAGTGGGGCTTCCCACTGGTCATGCAGCCCTGGCACCAGGAATGAAGCTTCTGAGCTTTCCTCATGTCTGTGCTGAGAATGGGGCAGCTGCTCATTGCCCCATATTTATCAGGGACAAACCTGTTGGGCCATGCCCATTACTGACCCAGTGTCTACAGAGACCTGGCAGGTTGTGTGCATGAAGAAGGGGACCAGAGTAGTATCCACACACCTGCATTCCTAAAACAAGTGGTCAGGGCGGGGCCAGCTGCAGAGTGCAGGACCAGTCTGAAGAGACAGCAGGCCCGGTGGCAGAAGTGGCCCCAGTGGAGTAAATGCAGCAACATTTTAAAACAAGCAAGAAATCTAAAATTTCACCACCCCTGCCCAAGCCTCCTTCCCCCCAAAATGTTTCTCTTCAACTCAGCCTCTTGTGAGCACCATTCCTTGCTTTCCTTAGACTTGCCCTTTTTGTGTATTCTTAAATATTTATTGGTGTTTCCTCAAGACACAGAAACTGAGACTGAGTCGCGAAGATACCAAACAACTCATCACTTGAGTGGGAAAAAATTTAGTCAAACTCTCTTAACTGAGTAATGTCTGCTTGACAGCACAACTTCTGCCACTTCATTTACCTCCTCCTCCAAGAAGGCACATCACTACCATCTATACCCATTAGGGGCGCTACAAGAATCAGAAACAGACTATTTCTATGCTACAGAAAGCTAGCTGGTTGCAGAGTGAAATTTTCCATCTGTGTGAAATTTTCAGTAAATTCCACATGACTGAATTTACTTTTTTAAAAAACTGAAACAATCATGTTTTGATCTGAATTTGCAGGCTTGATTGAATTACTGGTAGTGAAAGGACCATCTGATTATTTGTGGGGAGTGGGCAGTAGAGAAAGAATTGCTTTTATCTCAGAAATGTATAGATATTCATTATTCACATGCATTCTACACATGATGAGATTTTATATTGGTCTAGTGAAATAACGGAATTTCTTCAGTGTAGAGTATCTTCTCTAATCAGTATATCTTAAATGGTATTGCTACCAAGGGTCACTCCTACAGACATACACACAGAACACAACTTCATAAATAAACCCACTGATTGTAAGCAAAAAAATAAGTAAAATTGATAATATAGCACACATTTTCAGGACTTTATCACATCAAAATTTTATATTAGGACTAATTACCACTGCAATTTGTTGTTGTTTTTTTTTTTTGAGAGGGCATCTCTCATATTTATTGATCATATAGTTGTTAACAACAATAAAATTCTGTATACGGGACTCAATGCACAATCATTAATCAACCCAAGCCTAATTCTCAACAGTCTCCAATCTTCTGAAGCATAACGAACAAGTTTTTACATGGTGAACAAGTTCTTACATAGTGAATAAGTTCTTACATGGTGAACTGGCCATGCACTGCAATGGAACTCAGTGCAAGGGCAGTCATCACAGAAACTTTCAGTTTTGATCACGCATCATGAACTATAAACAGTCAGGTCAATTATGATTATTCGTTTGATTTTTATCCTTGATTTATATGTGAATCCCACATTCCTCCCTTATTATTATTATTTTTTAATAAAATGCTGAAGTGGTAGGTAGATGCAAGATAAAGGTAGAAAACATAGTTTAGTGCTGTAAGAGGGCAAATGTAGATGATCAGGTGTGTGCCTATAAGCTAAGTATTAATCCAAGCTAGACAACGGCAACAAAACATCCACGGATGCAGAAGATTTCTCTCAAAACAGGGGGGATGAGGTTCTAAGCCTCACCTCTGTTGATCCCCAATTTCTCACCTGATGGCCACCCTGAGACTGCGCCTATCTTAGGTTGTTCCTTCCTTGAGGGATCTTACCCATCTCTGGCTAACCAGTCATCTTCCGGGGCCATACAGGGAAATGTAAAGTTGGTAAGTGAGAGAGAAGCAATATTCTTTGAAAAGGTTAGCTTTTTACTTCTTTGCAGATTTATGCCCTGTGGCTTCTATGCCCAGCATTTGTCTTGAGGTATCTTTACCACTTGGAAGAATTATGATACTCGGTAATTTCGATATGAGGCACGAATTCTACTTAGGGGTTGTAATTATGAAGGAAGAAGAGAAGCTATAGAAGTAGCAAATGGAAGAAAACATGGGAAGATTGATTATTTCTTTGACATATCTTCTTGTAGTGTAACATAAGTGTGTATAGGTTTTAAATTACTAATTAAATTGCGTGCACACATTAACGTAATAGCAATACAGCTACATAACCAAAGCAGACGTACAATTACCAGACATATCCAGTGAAACCAAGAAAACCAGTTAGGCACCCTAGGCATTTGTGAAAACTTATCAATGATATGATGGATATTGTCTAACTGAATTTGAATATTTTGAGAAAAATCAGACAAATTAAAACAACACATTCCTGGGAAACCAATTTGTTTTTTATAATCAACCAAGGAATGGATCGTTGCCTGCTGATAGATATGCAGTTTCAGTCAGGTAAAATCAAACCAAACAGCAACTTTCACTGTGTAGAAAACAAAAGGAACACAGTTACACTCATTGTGGTCCCTGCCACAGTCACCTGGGGCCAGCTAGCAAGACGGAGCACTAAGATCAAGATCTCCCAGATTGAATGATATTTCTGTTGAAACCATTTGAAGCAGTGTTTCCCTCAAGTGTGCTCTGGGGAACATTTGTCAAGTGAGATGCTCCACAAGAACAGGATTCCGTGTCCAAGCAAGTTTGGGCAACACTGACCACTGTGTCTCCCTCTAGGATATTCCTAATGTACTTCAGCCTATTATAAGCACCGTAGAGCTCCAAAGTAAAACATCCTATTTAAAGTTGCTTAAAATAGTATTTCCTAAATATAGGTAGCATCAAATTTTTTTCTCCTAACATTTCTTTAGGGAATGTTGATCCATTCAATTTTAGTTTGGTCTTGGACTAGCAAACTGATCTAACTCTTCAGTGAGAGGAAAATATGCAGAGTACTTTTTGTTTCACAGTTAATTTATACAAGGGAATCCATACAGCTCTTCCAAAATTCCAAGCGAAAGCAATTATGACAAAGAGCCCATTCTATTCCTCAAAAAAATAAACACAATTAATGCCACTATACAAAATATCTAATACTGTCTTAGTTTGTCTCATGGCCATCAAGCTGGTTTTTCAGCTGATGCAAGCCCTGTGCTGCCCCAGCTAACCCGGTGGGATCACCACAGGTCATTTCATATGAATTTACCGATTTAAAAGAGAAGATCCACTCTATACACTCACTTGCCAAGATTCTGGACTGAAGAGAAATGCATATTGTACTTCATCTGAGTAATGACCCTTTGGAAGCTCTTACTTTGTGTTTTTTTGGGTTACGTTTACTGTCCATTCATCTTAGAGATGATGCTTTATCTCTGCAAATGGTGTGTGCATGTGTGTGTGTCTGTGTGTGTACACCTCTGATAGCAATACCATCTGAGAAATACAAGAAAAGCTAATGCACCAGACCAGTAGTTCTTTCCAAACCTACATTTTATGTGTGCTTTGCTGTACCAAGAATGACGGAATGAGTAAGTGTTTGCCCCGTCCTTTGCTTTCTTCTAGGCAGTATGTTTTCTTGGCTTTACTGTCATCTTGAGCCTTGTTTTGGAGGGCAGAAGAATGCTTAGGTCATGTTTAGTTTTTATAGCCTCATTTAGTGGAAATGGATCCTCTGGGCCCAGTCTATGCCCATTGCCTAAATTTAAAGTTCTTTTTCTTTCAGGGAGCTTAATTTATATTTGTTGATGGTGCAATGAATGCAAATAACTGCATGGGTGACCTTTAGGAGTCTGTAAAAAGCCACACCAGTTATGTGAATGACTTGAATTCAAGAAAAAAAAAAAGATTTTGATATATTTTCAGCATTTCAACAGTTTTTTCTTGAGGAAGGAAAAGGATTAATCACCCAGTAGGTATTTTGGAAACATATAGAGAGCTAATCT